AGAGTCAGCAGTTGAGTGACCGCCCAACACTCAGTGCTCTTAGCACGACTGAGCGTACCAAACTTATTGCATATCTGCTCAGCTGCTCAGCACCACGGCGTAACTGAGCAACCACACTCATTAGTATGTAAACTAGAAAGTAAATCCTACTAGGGTATTTTGTGATGGAACGGCCCCCATATGCCAGAACTACCCCTCTTTTGGGATAGCGTCTAACGCCTAGGTCATCCCATCCCTTCCAATCCTCCTCTTTTGGTCCATTACTTCTGCCGCATACGATCAGTCATCAAAAAATCTTGCCTAACCTAACCTACTCAAGTGTAGTGGCACAGAATGTCTCCCATTCTAAAACTAACCCCTTTCGGGAAATTGCGATCGCTGCTCGAGGCAGTCCCCATCGAAATCCACACCACAACTACATCTCGACACCGAGCAGCGTTTCCTACTAGTGCCTCCTCGTATGTGCTGCTATATCATCCTGTTCAACGCTCTTTCATTTGTTGTTCTATTCTCGATGCAAGGAAATTATCCCAGGCCAAGCACTGTCGAGAACCTTGTCACTAGGATGCTACAAATAACAGTAATACAAACACTCTCTTCTGACCATTCCGTCTATAATACTGGCACAGAAGCGTGCGACGCTTCGCGACAACGTCACTCAATCAAGACTACGCATTTTTGCGACCTTGCGGCACGAGAATTGATCTTTAGTTTCACGCGATTCTGAGAGTTCACTCGCTTTCTGAGTTGGACCCATGGCGATGGAGTTATGGCGAGTAGAAGTGAAGACAGCTACGTCGCAGTCATGGTGGGGTGACTCGACCCGCGAACTGCCTCGTTTTGCGCACGGTACAGTACTGTAGTGTTGTCGCAAAAGCGCGTCGCTGAGCTTGAAACAACCACACAGCGTGAATTGCAGAAAGCAAAGATGATACAGAAGGAGAATATTTTCGTAGTTATTAAAAGTGTGCGCTGAACAACTTCAAGGAAGTCGAATACGCACATCAATAAAGAGGAGACGAAGGAGAGAGCGCGTGTTTAGCCATCTCGAAGACGCTGTACACACTTCAGCGTACTAGGACACAACTTGCGCACATGTAAGCAAAGATGCAGTACAAGCTCTTAGAAAGATCAGCCTATCACAATTCTCTATTACCATTCTTGATGGTGCTGTACTATTATGTATTGTTGTGGTTTTGGTGGAATTCTGGCAAATCTTAGTTACTGTTTGCAGAAGCTTGTTAGAACCTCGCACTTTATAGATTATCTTCCAAGCGCACGCATCTGTTATCTTTGCGTCGCTTTTAGAGGAGCTGGCGGTGCAGTATGCACAGAAACAGCACTAGTTTGACTACGCTTGGCTGTTTCTCGCTTGGCTGGTCTTGCTGTAGGAAGCTATGGGGATCTTTGGAATTGTATACCCTGTTTTTCAGCATTTGAGAAAGGATTACACCTTGCGCGGGGCTATATTCCTTATGTCGCACGGATGAGTGCAGGTATTGTAGATAGATAATTGAGCGAGAGTGCATGTTGTATCATTTGTAGCATCGTAGCTGCACTTATATATAAGGTCATCGTACCGCATTATTAGTAACAAGGTTCCCGACAGCACTTGGCCTGCGACACCCGGCGATACGCGACAGATGTCGCATATACCTCGCCATCCGATATCTTTTTGATGTCTTGTGCTCAGATTCGTAAGTTATATCCTACTGTGTAGCTGAAACTGTTTAAACCTTGGTATACGATTAGTACATGTGTTATCTCCCAGAAACTCTACGTCGAAGTCATCGATGCCTTACCGCATGTACATGTGATGTGGCCTCGTCTGACTACAGTCGAAGAGGAACCGAGAATACAGAAAGCTCAGGTAAGTTTGTAGAACTTCCTATAAAGACGAATGCAGTTCTCTAACGCCTGCAGGAATGGCAGTTGGTTCTCAAATTACTATGAGTGTGGGTAAGCAGATAAGACCATCATCATGCGAATCACAATACGTTGCATTCGATCAACTCTAGGCTAACTTAGTTGCTCTGTCAATTCTATTTTTTAACAATTGCCTAGCTTGAAGAAAACAGAAACCCGTACCAAAGACCTTTCTGAGTACGCTCATGCAGCTTAGTAAATTGATGGTAGACCCAGTCTCGTTCTCCATCCATGATATTGTCTAGCATCTTTCTAGTAGCGTTCCTTTTCCGACGCTCTTTCCGAAGTTCTCTTGTATGTCATTTTAACTTTCCGGAACACCTGTTTTGGTTTTTTGGACAAAGCCAAGCCTTGTCTCACGTATCCCCAACACGTCGAGAGATACGGTGTGCTTCAACATGTGGGCCTAGTCTCGACTGTATTCGATTGATTCGTACATCAATACTCTCCATCAACTTGTCTTTTGCACATAGGCTACGAGCGGGCTCTCATCTAACGTCCTTCCCTGCTACGACCTTGACCGAGCCAAGCTTGCTCAGCATAACGCCCATCTGGTCCATGTTGTACGCATTATCCGGCAGTACTACTGCGTCCTACAGCACCTTGCCAATCATCTAGAACCACTCTGGCATCTTGTCGTAGATGTTGTTCTTGTGGCGCTTCCAGTCTATCGACCTGACTCGTCTTGCTTTGAGTTCGGGGTGGCGTTTCTCGACAGCGCGCAGCAAGAATGAAACAAGCGCTTTCTCTTCCTTTACGGTAAGGTGTTGCTGGCTTTGAGCTTTTACTTCCTTTGACGTTCCTCCGTGCTTACGACGATAAGGGTAGAACGTGGGACATGGCTCTTCTCTGCAACAGCGCGATACGTCCTAGGCTAGTCTACAGAGGCTTCCGCCAGTGCTCGACCAGCAAGATCCATAATCGCCAATATGGTGGTAGCCTGGCAGAGAGACAGCAACGAGCAACGTTCATGTAATGAGAGCTATCCTGTCGCTATGATAACAGGTAGCATACGAACGAGCGAAGCTTGTTCTAAACATTGCAAGCGCACAATGCGGCTTCGAACGGTGCCATGATCCTGCGCCTGGCCTGACGAATCACGAATATGTTCAAACAATCGCACTGCGCTGCGCGTGGTCAGATGGGATGATGTTTGTATGGTGTCCCGCTCATTTCTCAAGCACGCACACTTAGTCTACGCATGCGGCTTTCGGCGAAACGTACTTCCGAAGGCTTCTTGTCCCCGCACGCAATGCAGCAGCGCTTAGCTGTGCCAGCCCTCCCAGTCTTGTGCAGCTGACAATGGATCGGAGCACTACGCTCAGCCCGAAAGCGATCTGACTGCTCCGTCAGCCCACAATAACGCGAAGCGCGATCCAATAGTTTGCTTTATTATCTTCGCAGACCTCGCATCATGAACGGCCTTTCGGGCGCAGCAAGCGTCATCGCAGTAATCGACATATCCGCCAAGATCGCCTCGCTCTGCTACCGGTATTCCGTGGCTGTCAAGGACGCGAAGGGTGATGTCGAGCGTGTGCGGAGGAAGGTTAGCGACATCGCCCACATTCTGGAGAAGATCAAGCAGCTCCTCGACAGCCACGACAAGACGCGGCTCTCTACCACTCTGGGCTTGTCCAGCTCGCTCGAGCAATGCTTAAAGGAACTGAAGAGCCTCAAAGCAAAATTAGATTTGGGGAAAACTCGCAAGACTATGAGCCAGTTCGGCTTCCGCGCGCTTGAGTGACCGTTCGCGAGTAAGCAAGTGGACGAAATTATTTCGAATTTGGAAGGATACGAGCAGACATTAAGCTTGGCATTGCAGGCCGATCAGACGTAAGCTTCTGTACCCAGATCTATCTTACGCAGACCCAGCTTCTCACTGACTATACAGAGTCGTTGTGTTCAATGTAGACCAGAAGCTAGATCTCCGCAAACTGCCTGTCGCAACAGGCGCCACTTTCAATTCCCACAACGAAGAGCATGACGCACAGTGCCTACCAAACACCCGCACCGAGCTGCTAGACGAGATCACAACATGGGCGAACAACAAGGATGGCAAGTCCATATTATGGCTAAGTGGCATGGCGGGCACGGGAAAATCTACGATAGCGCGGACGGTCGCCCAGTCGTTCGCTAGTCGAGGGCAGCTCGGAGCAAACTTCTTCTTCAAGAAAGGCGAGCGCGAGCGCGGCAACGGCTCGCGCTTCTTTACTCCCATTGCCACTGATCTAGTCGCCTGTGAGCCAGGCATGCTAACCACTATTAGGAAGACGCTCGACGAGGACTCGACGGTCTTGTACAAGGCATTGAAAGACCAGTTCGAGAAACTGATCCTACAGCCACTCTTAGGGATAAAGCGGGCTCGTTCACAGGTCTTGGCGCGTGTTGTGGTGATTAGTACGCTGGACGAGTGCGAGCGAGAAGCCGACATCAGAGCGATTCTTCAGCTGTTTGCTCGGACAAAAGACGTTCGTCCAGTGTCGCTGTGGATTTTGGTGACTAGCCGGCCTGAGCTCCACATCCGCTTAGGCTTTAGGAGGATGCTAAAGAGCACGTACCAAGACCTCATTCTCTATGAAGTACCAAGGAACACAATCAAACACGACATCCGTCTGTTCCTACAGCATGAGCTCGACGTGATACGAAAAGAACGCATGCTAGCCTCGGGCTGGTCTGCGCAACAACAGATCATGGCCTTGGTTGAGCTAGCTGTGCCACTATTTATCTATGCTGCTACCGTATGTCGACATGTTAGCACAAAAGGATGCGACCCTGAAGAGTACTTGAACAAGGTCTCGAGGTATCCGAAGGCGGCTCTTTCACAGCTCGACCGAACCTACCTTCCCGTCCTGAACCAATTGCTTGTTGAGCAGGAAGAAAGAGATAGAGAAGACTGGCTGCACGCCTTCTGTGGACCCGTAGGTAGCATAGTCATTTTAGCGAGCCTACTTCCTCTCGGCTCCCTTCCGCGCCTTCTTTAAGTTCCACAGAAGCAAGTCGAACGTCGGCTGGACGCCTTGCATTCCGTTCTTAGCGTTCCCAGTAGGGAGAACATTCCTATCACGTTACTGCACTTGTCTTTCCGCGAGTTCCTCGTCGACCCCCAAAAACAGGGAAAGAGCCTGTTCTGGGTGGATGAGAAAAGCACACACCAGAAGCTTGCATCTCGCTGCCTTGAGCTTATGTCTGGACCAAGCGGCCTACACCAAGACATGTGTAGCCTCTTAGAGCCTGGGGTGCTAGGAAGCGAGATCGACGAATGTACAATCACTAGCAGTCTGTCACCTGACCTGCAGTATGCGTGTCGTTACTGGGTCGATCATCTCAAGCAGGGTCAACAAAACATCGTAGACGGAGACATAACGCACCTGTTTCTGCAGCAGCATCTCCTTTATTGGCTCGAGGCCATGAGCCTTATAAGAGAATCTAGCAGATGCGTCGACTTACTTGACAGCCTTCAGGCACTTGCTAGCGTAAGATGTTCACAAAACACCTTCCCACTACTCTGCTAACGTGCAACACAGCCATCTGCAAGCCTAGTTCCACGCTTCCTTCATGACGCTAAACAGTTCGTGCTGCGATTCCAATCTGTGCTTACAGATGCGCCGCTGCAGATCTATTACTCGGCGCTCGTGTTCGCACCAGAGAGGAGCGTGATACGACAAACCTTTGCAGACCAAGTGCCAGAGAAGGCTAAGATGCTGTCTGAAACAGAAGCAGGTTGGGACGCGTGTCGCAGCACGCTCGAGGGCCATTCCGATATTGTCACAGCGGTGGCCTTCTTGCCAGATGGACAGCTGGTCGTCTCGGCATCTGGCGACAACACAGTACGGCTGTGGGAGGCGACGGGGGCGTATCGCAGCACGCTCGAAGGACATTCCTCGTATGTCACTTATCTTAAGTTCTCGCCACATGGCTAGGTACCTCGTACGAACCAAGGCGATATCTATCTACCTCAAATTCCTATTTTCACGTCGCTTTCTAGGTTGAGCCGCAGTCCTTCTACGTTGTAGTGCAGGGCCAGTGGATATTGCGCAACCAGCAGCACGCCCTGTGGCTCCCACCAGAATATCGATCAGGGTCAACCGCTGTACATGAGGACATCGCTTATCTAAGGCCTGCATCTGGTCGTGCGGTTCTGCTTAAAATTTTCTAGCATTGTTCATCAATAGAATTGCTCTATCGCAAGCACAGTGAAGGCTTTACTGTGTAGCATAGATAGCCACTGCACGATATGAGTCTTGCCGTTAGCGGTTTTCCTCAAAGACGACCCGCTAGGGCTAAGCTACAGCTTTGATAGCCGTTAGAAACGGATTCCGCGAAGACAATTACATAGGGTGTGTAGGACTGCTTAGCGTAGGCCGAGGTACTAATCGCGACTGCGACCTTGCATGAATATAGACATTGCAGGCGCCACGAGGCTGAACGTAGCTTGCCACGCTACCACAAGGTCTCTTAGGTGGAACCGCGACTATCTAGGGGTTTT